GAAAGAGGACCTACACCACGCCAGTCTAACTCCTCTTCAGATCTGCTCTCTAAGCTTTCTGCAGAATTTGATGAGATTCTTCCACATGCTGTGCCATCATTCTGTTTAGTGAAATTGATAAAAATTATAATAAAAAGAAAGCTTCAGAGTCAGTTTTCCTTTCTAGAAACCTAGGATCAATCACACTTAGGATGAGGGGGAAAAAAAATCTAAAATAATGGCTTTGTCAACATCCAGAATGCTGTGTCATTCACCATAGAGAATGAATCTGATATTTGTCTTCGGGGGAAAGGGAAGCAGTATTACTGGCCCAGGGTGAAAGTACTGTCTAGGCATGGTGTGCTCATCAGCCAGGCACAAACTCTGCCACAAGACTGAAGACGATGTTTGTAAGGGCTTAACTTATGAATGATGTAACAGTAATTTCTGAAGTAACAGTAGTCACTCAGAGTCCCTGGGTGTGCAAACAGTTAAGCGTTCGACTACTAGCCAAAAAGTTGGTGGTTTGAACCCACCCAGAGGCACCTCAGAAGATAGGCCTGGTGATCTGCTTGCAAAAGGTCCCAACCTTGAAAACCCTATGGGGCAGTTCTACTCTGCAAATATGAGGTCACCATGAGTTGGAATCAACTCGACTGCAACTAATAACAACTCTTAATAAAAAGTGTTGTCAATATTATCTATCTACATGTCTCCCAGCAGATTCACTCTCTCTTCTCAGCAAACAGCTTTCGATATCATGAAAAGCAGATCATTACTTATTCTGAATTACAGGATTTTCCCAATAACTACAATTTTATTTATTTAGGTACCTAAAATATAGATTAAAAATGTCTGTGATATATGTATCTCACCTAGAGAGAGAATTAGTCAAAAATACCTAGTCTAAATGGTGATCCTCCTTCTAATAATTTATTTTTAAAAGACAACCATTTTCATGATTAGTGAGCTTTTTTTTATTCACCATGATTATTTTTTTCTCAGAGAAATTGAATACATATACATTTAACAGGAAACTATCATTCATTTTAGAAACAAATCAAGTGTTTTACTTAGCAGAGGCTAGGCTGCAGCAACAAAGTGACTCAGACGTGTGATGTCTCAGTGCAGCAGACATTTATTTCTTGCTCCCATAAAAGTCAGCACGGTAATGCTCCTCCATGTGGTCATGCAGAGGTCCAGGCTGATGAGGGCTGACATCTTCATTTCATGGCTTCTAGGATTGCCTCGGGAGCATTTCCATCGCAGCCAGCTGCAGGATGGAGGAAGTTCTTATGAACTAGGCATGTGTGAGGTACACATCACTTCTCTTCACACTCCATTGACTAAAACTCAGTCACTTGGCCACACTTAATGGCAAGGGAAGCTGAGAAATCCAATGTAGGTATGTACCTAAAGGGGAACTTGGAGTTGGGGGAATAGCTAGTCATCTCTGCCTCATCATCTTCATTGGTGAAGTCCCTAATATGTGCCAGGTGCCACTCAAGCCAACAGGGTACAACAGGGACCTTTATTTTCTAGTTTACTTAAGCCTCGATGGAGACACAGAACTATAAATAAGTGCAGTGAAGCTATGGCAGTGTCTAAGAGGACAGTGGGGGCACAAAGACAAGACTGTGACACACCCATGGCAAAAAAACCACAGCTCTTGGCCTCTCCTTTTCTCCACCTTGCTTCTTGCTCTGATTTGGCCCATTAGCTTCAGTCTTTTCTACTGCAGACAGGCTTGCTCCCTGGGAGTGAGGGGAGTCACAGCTGGTTAGACAGAGGGGTGTGGCTGTGGCTGTGGCTGAAGCTTCAGGCTTCAACCACTCTACCTTCACAACCCTAGAGAAAAGACCTTCTATATCCCAACACCCATAGGTAAAATGCCAGGGAAATATTTCATTGGCTTAGCTTGGGTTATTCGTCCCATCGGCAGACAACCAGGAGTGTTCAATATTGTAACTAACAGTTCTACCAGAACCAAACTAAGAGAAGTAGTAGTTCCTCAACTGAAGAATGTGTTGTTATCAGAGGAAGAGGACATGGGTCAGGACAGACAAAACCAACACATGTCCACTGTCATGAACTGAATTGTGCCCCCCCAAAAATGTCTGTCAACTTGGCTAGCTCATGATTCCCAGTATTGTGTGATTGTCTACCATTTTATCATCTGATGTAATTTCCCTATGTGTTGTACACTGTATCACTATGATGTAATAAGATAGATTAGCAGCAGTTATATTGATGAAGTCTACAAGATTAGATAGTGTCTTAAGCCAATCTCTTTTGCGATATAAAAGAGAGAAGCGAGCAGACACACATGGGGACCTCATACCACCAAGAAAGCAGTGCCGGGAGCAGAGCGCATTCTCTGGACCTGAGGTTCCTGCGCTGAGATGCTCCCAGACCAAGGGAAGACTGATGCATCACAACGACTTTTCTCCAGAGCTGACAGAGAGAGAAAGCCTTCCCCTGGAGCTGATGCCTTGAATTTGGATTCCTAGCCTACTAGATTGTGAGAGAATAAATTTCTCTTTGCTAAAAACCATCCACTCGTGGTATTTCTATTACAGCAGCACTAGATGACTAAGACATCCACTGTAACCAGCATCTCCATGGTGTCTAAAAGCCTTCCTATGGGTAGCATCACTTTAACAGAGTATATTAAGTAACCAAACCAAACTGGTTGCCCATCGAGTAGATTCTGACTCATAGAGACCCTGTGGGACAGAGTGGAACTGCCCCACAGTGTTTCCAAAGCTGTAATCTTCACGGAAGCAGAATGATGGGTTCAAACTGCTAACCTTCTAGTGAGCAGCTAAGCGCTTTAACCACTGAGCCACCAGGGCTCCTCATTAAGTAAACCGAAACCCTTGCCGTGGAGTCGAGTCCGACCCCTAACGACTCTATAGGACAGAGCAGAATTACCCCACAGGGTTTCCAAGGAGCGCTGGTGGATTCGAACTGACGACCGTTTCGTTAGCAGCCGATCTCTTAACCACTGCACCACTAGGACTCCACATTAAGTAAAGATAACTAGTTCAACAGCACTGTGGAAAACTGCTAAAAATCTTCTGGACATAGGAAAATCTCCAGGCACTCCTTAAATCAAGTAAGTAGATACCACCACTGGGTCTTACCATTGTCTACCTCTGACCACGAGGTGGTGTAGTGGCAGAATGCTATCACCAGGCCACCTAGATTCTAGCTTCTGATCCACCAACTAGCTGTGGTCAATTCCTGGGGCCTGCTACCTCCTGTGTAAAATATGGTCATGATGGTTAAAATGTCCTCCAGTGCTTAAAAGAAAGCGTCTCTTTGGCACTCTTTTCCCTTTCTTTGAAAGCTTCTGGGAGAACACAGGAGCTGAAGGATTTTAGCTCTTAAAGATGTCAAGAAAAGTGCAAATAATAATTACAACTGTAACTAAAACCTTGCTGCTAAATATGAAATTGGACACAACTTGCTCAATTAGGATTTACTAAGTCAATTATTATTGACAGAGTGTTTCCTTAAAAATGTTAAAATAGCAATAGATGAGAATTGGGAAGGAAACTGTCTTGGTCCACTGAAGCTTCAAAGGGTAAGTAATTTACCACTTCTATTTACTTTGCACTCTTTTATCTGGGGCCTGTCCCCCGTTTCTCAACTTAAGCTTTTTCCTTTGAGTAAAGAGGTGTGCTAACTGAGGTGAGTGGGGCCGAGGTAACGCAAGCTTCCCCACCTCTCCGGCTTCAAAACCCGACGCGCCCGAGGCAATTCTATAGAAGAGCACACAAAAAAGGAAAGTCTGTAATGCGCCTCCGCCAAGGCAAGTCGGCAGAGCTCACCCACCAACCACACTCTGGGACAGCTATAGGGGGAGGAGTCAATAGACGGCGAACGCCAGACTCTCGTCTGTTCGCCTGCCACCACAGCCGCGTGGCATGCCGGGGCTAGTAGTTCCGTGTCGCCGGGCCTCAGAACGTAACGTTGTAGGAAAACGGCTCGCGTGACAAGCCGGGAATTGTAGTTCCGCGACGCCGGGCGTAAAGTTACAAAACGCCGGCCGCTTCGCATGCCGGGACTCGTAGTCCCCCAACGCGGGACTCAGAAGGTAACGTTTTAGGACGGCGTCCCGCATTGCATGCCGGGACTCGTAGTTAAACAGCGCTCTGCGTGGCATCCCGGGACTCGTAGTCAAACGATGGCGGCCTCGAGCATAACGTCGTAGGAGGACGGACCGCGTTGCATGCCGGGACTGGCAGTTCCGCGACGCTTGGACTCAGTGCATAATGAACTATCGAACGGCAGTCCGCGTTGCATGCCGGGACTCGTAGTTCCGCGACGCCGAGCCTCAGAAGGTAAACGGGGCACAGTAATAACTGTTTCCGCCGTTTCAAGTCCCACGAGGTTTGTTCCTCGGCGTTTCCGGTATAGTCGCTCGCTTAGCGCTTCTTCCGGCCTTCGCGTGGGCGTCCGTGTTTACACGCGGGCCGCCGCTGCGCAGGCACGCACGCACGCGGCGGCGCGTGTGGCCGGCCGCCAGCCCCGTGCCCCGTGACGTCAACGCGTTCTCCAGGAAGTCGCGCGGAGCGCACCGGCCGGTGGGAAGCCGGTTCCCAGAGCGGGAATTGCAGACGAGCCACCGCGCCGCCACCGCCCGGCGGTCTGAGGCTGCCACCGTGCTGCGATGGGCGTGGGGCCGTGAGCGCGGGTGCGG